GTTTCCAGGGCGATAGTGCAGCTGATAATGAGATTATCCGTGCAGCTGATACGCCTGACTGACTTTGAGTATTGTTCAGATGCTCGGCTGACTGCCTGCGGAACCAGTCTCCCCCAAGACAAAACTACTACCTGCAACACGTGAGACTAACTGTGGGCACTCTGGCGTAAAACAAACACATGCAGGCGACTCTCTATGTTGCACGTCCTGGAGGTATGAAGCAGCGACAGCTCACGAAGCTAACGAAGGGATTGCCGTAACGGCTGACTTGTTCAGATATGGAGAGACTTAATGAGATGGAGATGAGAGAGTATAGTAAGGTCTGTCTGTGTGCTGACAGATGTTCTTGTCTGGTTGGCTTGCAGGGACAAACTACTGGCCTGGCTACTGGAGACTGAGCACTCGCTGCATGACGTCAAGGACAGATACTACAGACTGCCTCATCATCACAGATACAGAAGTGACCTTGTGGCGGAGGTAACCGCATTGATTCCAGCACCCGCCATCCTCAGCATGTCATTCAGAACAGTTTTACGTTCCATTAGTCATAAGCTCTTTCAGTAATACCCTCTAAAAGTAATAAGCTCTAAGAGTAATAAATCTAACAGTAATAAGCTCTAAAGGTAATACAGTCTAATAGTAATAAGCTCTAAAAGTAACATGAGTGGCCTGAGCGCAGTGGCTAGCGCCCTCTCCCATGTCGCCATGATAGTTCCGGGTTCTCAACTCCACACTGAGGCAGATCTGCCAGCTGGACCCGAACTTCCACGACGACCTAGTCTGACAACTGGGGCAAGGAAATGTGTACAAAGAGCAAAAACATGATCCTGAACACGCCACCCACCTAGTGCCAGTTTGTCTCTTTTTCTTCTTCTTCATTTTAGCGTTCACCGGCTGTAAACTCCGTTGGAGAGTTCTGGCTGTTCGTCCACTTCTTGACTTTGGTCTTGCTGCAGAGCTTGAGTTTTGTGTGTACATCTGTTTTATAGATCTGGCTTAACTTTTCCTGGTGCCAGGTTCAAGTTGGGTCCAACTGTGGGCCCACCTGGACGGCTGGATCCACATGGAAGGATGGGTTCACCTGAGAGGCTGGGTCCGCTTGGGAGGCTTGGTCCACCTGGGAGGCTGGGTCCACATGCAAGGCTGGGTTGTCATGCAAGACTGGGTTGACATGCAAGGCTGGGCCCACATGCAAGGCTAGGTCCACGTGCAAGGCTGGGTCGACATGCAAGGCTGAGTCCATCTGGGAGCCTCAGTGAATTGAACACATCCGTCAGGATGCGGACTTTAACCTCTGACGTCTGGACTGGGACTGCAAACAAACGTGTGGTGATATTCCCTTACGTCAAACGTAATGTGCTTGAAACGAAGAGCCATTCCAAGAGGATATGTTGAATGATTCCATGAGCCATTCCCATGCGATATCTTGAATGATTCCGTGAGCCATTCCCAGGCGATATCTTGAATGATTCCATGAGCCATTACCAGGTGATATCTTGAATGATTCCATGAGCCATTACCAGGCGATATGTTGAATGATTCCATGAGCCATTACCAGGTGATATCTTGAATGATTCCATGAGCCATTCCCATGCGATATCTTGAATGATTGATTCCGTGAGCCATTCTTAGGTGATATGTTGAATGATTCCATGAGCCATTCTTAGGCGATATGTTGAATGATTCCGTGCGCCATTCCCAGGTGATATCTTGAATGATTCCATGAGCCATTACCAGGTGATATGTTGAATGATTCCATGAGCCATTCTTAGGTGATATGTTGAATGATTCCATGAGCCATTCTTAGGTGATATGTTGAATGATTCCATGAGCCATTCTTAGGTGATATGTTGAATGATTCCATGAGCCATTACCAGGTGATATGTTGAATGATTCCGTGAGCCATTCCCATGTGATATGTTCAATGATTCCGTGAGCCATTCCCAAGTGATATGTTGAATGATTCCGCGACCAGGGGAGACAGGCTGCGCTCTCAGGCCGTGTTGTAGTATATCCGAGGTCCCCTGTCGACGGAATCAATGTCATCTTTGTCCCTGGTAATAAAGCTGTTGCCGGCAATTAAAGACTTGATAGATTAGCTGCTTCTGTTACAGATGCAGACGGCCAAATATGGATCGCGCCGTTAGTGCAGAGAGAGAGAGAGAGAGAGAGAGAGAGAGAGAGAGAGAGAGAGAGAGAGAGAGAGAGAGAGAGAGAGAGAAAGAGAGAGAGAGGAAGTGTTTTTGGTGGTAGTGAGTCCACATTGTTAAGAAAGAGAAAACTTGGAGAACGATTGGTACATGCAGACACGACGGGCAGAGAAATGGCAACTATTCGCCACAACACGCTGACAAATATGTTGAGTATGTTTTGGGTTTAAAAAAACAACAACAAAAGAATATAATAAAAAATAAAAAAAAAGTTGTGAAGATTTAAGCAGCCATGGATGTGGGCGGAGCGTGGTTAGAATAACCCAGTTGATGTCTTACCCAGGGAATACCTTGACATGAATAAGATATTTTTGTGATGACGACCAGTTTTATTGTTTGCTATTGAGCAGATGTTTGGACTCGAGGGCTGCCAGGTCCAGATCTTGAACCAGATTCGCTGCAAGGAGAGAAAGATGGATGCCTTGATGAGGGATCAGCACCGCCTGGAGTCACAACTGACGCAGTATCACCTCGGCATCGCTCGGGCAGCACATCATCACTAGCTGACCCACCTACACAGCAATAAACTCGAATATTTCCTCATCACCGAGCTCTCCTGTGTTTGAGATACTGAATGATTGACCCACAAAAACACAACACCCAGAGATAATCAAACACACAAACAATCACACAAAGACACGGAAGAGGAGACGAAGAGAAACACACACACACGCTGAAACAGACACATTATTAATCTATAAGCGTGCGAGCTTGTGTCTGTTTTCTCCCTAGTCTGTGACAAGTCACTGCCAATATTCCACTGCCAGAAATAAGTCAGACAATAACAGAAAATAATGGAATTTATTTGCCACAGCAAATGCGTGCCTTTGAATCAATGTACTACAATCTAACGGTCACAAGAAACCAGTATGGCAGGCAAAATCCACACTTGTAACAAATAGGATAATTTTACTGTAATAATACTCAACTGGCTCTCCCCCCTCTCTCTCCATCTCGTCCCCTCTACCCCCTGCCACCTCTCTCTCACACACACACACACATACAAACATACTATCTGACACGCACACTTCCCCTTTCTCCAGGAACGGAGCAAAGATGGGGCGACCCGTTGCTATGAAGCTGAAACTCAGACTACCCTTTCTCCTCATCCCTACTCTCAGGCAAACATCGTTTCACAGGAGTTAACACGCATCTTTATCAAAGACATCAAATACCAGTATTACTGGCAATTCTGTTAGTGAGCTTCTAGCATCTATGCCGTCACAACAATGGCTATACAGCTAGAAGTCAGCCGCGGTGGTGCAGTGGCTGAGGATTCGAAGGTGGTGGGTTCATATTCCGACGATACCGGACGTGAAAACAAAAATGACCTTGACCTTAGATTGACACAGCCTTCAATGGTCTCCGAGTGCTGATTGGTCTATCAAACATGGGTCTTGTCCTATGTGTCCAACAAGCCTGGAGGCGTGGAGAAGGGACCTTTACTTGACTTTTATGTTTGGGTCCCACCATGAGACAGGTGGGTGTATTTCTGGACCCCCTGGACGGCAGGATCCATGACAGGACAGCTGAAAAACCTTTCAAAGCAACCCACAAACGATGGCACAGTCGTTAGGCACAGAACCATTCTGAGACAAAGATCTGTTGCTGAGAACAGGAGACGTTGCAGAAACAGGATTAGGATAGGTTAATGTCGGTCTGTGGATTGTTTGACCTCAGAAATGAATGAATGATTGAATGCATGAAGAAATGAATGAGTGGCGGAGAGGCAAGTGCATTGGTTAACAATATAGTAGTCCCTTCTCAGCAGATATACTCTTTTTAAACAGACTCCTGGGCTTGTCAAACAGACTCCTGGGCTTGTCAAACAGACTCCTGGGCTTGTCAAACAGACACCGGGGCTTGTCAAACAGAGGCCGGGGCTTGTCAAACAGACTCCTGGGCTTGTCAAACAGACGCCGGGGCTTGTCAAACAGACGCCGGGGCTTGTCAAACAGACGCCTGGGCTTGTCAAACAGACGCCTGGGCTTGTCAAACAGACGCCTGGGCTTGTCAAACAGACGCCGGGGCTTGTCAAACAGACTCCTGGGCTTGTCAAACAGACGCGAATCTGATGTCAACAGTCATTCTGATCTCAGTGTTAGTTTCCTTAATAATAATAGTAAAACAATGGTTGAAGTCGAGAGGATCGACTTAATTGCACCGGGTTTCATCCCATAAGGCCAGCCGTTTGCCGAGAGCGCCGCACAGAGCTTTAACTTCGTAGCTCCGGCAACGACTCCCATGGATCTCCGTAAAAACTGGACTCGTGAATTAAAAGAGCCAGCAGTGGAACGAACCCACGACCTTCAGAGAGCGAGTAAAACGGTTTGACCCCTTCGCCACGGAGAGTTAATCAAATATAAGACAGCGAAGTGTTATCATTTGTGAATAAACTACAAACATTCATGAACTAGTGCCTGCGCAGAATAGAGGCAATTTAATGGTGTGATAGAATTACTGACGTTGAGCTTAGGGAGAGAGCTAAACAAGGTCCAGCGCATCAAGAGATGAGGAGAAGACGTTGGCGTTGGATGGGACACACGTTGAGAAAACATGAGAACAATTGAACTTGAATGTCTTTGCGCTGGAGCCCACAGGGACATAGCAATAAAGGCAGACCCACGAACACAACAAATGGAGAAAGGAGCAAGAGAGGGGAGGTCATGCATGCGATAGCGAAGGATAGAACGACTTGACGTGAGTTGGTTGAGGCCCTATGCTCCACTGGGGGATAGAAAACAGAAGAGGAGAAGAAGAGGTTCTATAGATTATAACTGTTAGAATGATTCAAACAAAATACAGGTCCAAGTTGGCTTGCTTCAGGTAGACCTGAGCCTCCTGGAGAATCCTCAGGCGGGGTCCCATGGGGATGCCCAGTGTCTGCAGCTTGACCTCCGTCATGTAGGGCAGCTCGATCATCCCGATGTGTTCTTTCTCGAAGTTCTGCAGGTACTTCTACACAGACATCAATCATTTAGGGTTTAGTTAATGAACACAGACATCAATCATTTAGGGTTTAGTTAATGAACACAGACATCAATCATTTAGGGTTTAGTTAATGAACACAGACATCAATCATTGCAGGGTTTAGTTAATGAACACAGACATCAATCATTTAGGGTTTAGTTATTGAACACAGACATCAATCATTTAGGGTTTAGTTAATGAACACAGACATCAATCATTTAGGGTTTAGGTATTGAACACAGACATCAATCATTTAGGGTTTAGTTAATGAACACAGACATCAATCATTAAGAGGTTTAGTGAATGAACACAGACATTAATCATTTAGAGGTTCAGTTAATGAACACAGACACATCAATCACAGACATTTTTAGGGACATCAATCCTATGAGGGTTTAGTTCAAGGGTTTAGAATGAACACAGACATCAATCATTTAGGGTTTAGTTAATAAACACAGACATCAATCCTTTGAGGGTTTAGTTAAGGAACACAGACATCAATCATTTAGGGTTTAGTTAATGAACACAGACATCAATCATTTAGGGTTTAGGTAATGAACACAGACATCAATCATTTAGGGTTTAGTTAATGAACACAGACATCAATCATTTAGGGTTTAG